TCCTTGAATCAGTTGTCTGTTGATCTGGGTTTACATAATACCCAGCATAGATTTTTGTATGTGTGAGAATGCTGGAATGAAAGGTGGGAGGAAGTGATCTAGAGGCAGTAAGGTCAGTTTAAGAAGGAAGAGGTGAATTAGAGCTAGAAAATAAAGCTTGAACTTTCTAGCCTTTCAATGCACCTGCAGAACCAGCCCTAGAAAGCTTATGAAACAAAATCATTTAAAAACAAGGATATCAACTGCTAAAGGCATTCAGATCTGACATAGATTTTGTGAAAAAACAAACAGTAGGAGGGCTGTGTCAGACAGGACGCAGCCCAGGGCCAGGCAGAGCCTCCCCTCCTGCCTTCTCACCTTTAACTTCAGGCACAGTATTCTGACAGGTAACCTCTAGCTTTGGCAAATCTCACTCAAATAGACAACTCCCTAGCGTAAAGGTCTGAGATATTGAGGACTGAGTTCAACAGTCCTATTATTTGATGAGCAGATCACCTGAGAAATAAGCCGGCTGGTGAAGGCAGCTTCAACGTCAACAGATGCCTGCATTTAAAAGTTGCTCTCTTACCAAATACTTCCTGAAAAAACCCCAACCCAAAAAAACAAAAAAACCCAACGCCTTCAGGGCTGTATTCTCTAATTTAGGGAAAACCAGTGGAAGCTGAAGTTTCAATACAACATTTTTATAAGGTCTGGGTACAGAAAGCAAAAATAGATGTGCTGCTAAGCTAGTATAGCAGTCACAATGATAGTGACTGCACCTGAGTGCTTGATGAAAAGTATGTGAGGATCTTTTCTCTTGTTTTCTCTGAACAGCGAAGCTCAGGCCCAGTTTTCAGGAAAAAAACACGAAGTCAATATTTGTTTTTATTTTCCCCCTAAACTCTTACATTACCTTGTCTTTCTGCTTTCCAAAAATGTGGAGAGCTTTGACACACATTAGCAACAACATCTGTAGTTTAAAAGTGAGATTGTTTGAACCTTGTGATATTCCAACCATGAGGTTTGGGATAATACTGAAATCCCTAGGATATACAATCACTTTACACACTGTGCAATTGCATAAAAACAGTCCATAATAAATTTTTTCAGACACAGCATTTGCTTTGGGTTTGCAGCCCAAAATACAGGAAGATTATGTATTTTTCGGCTTCTGGAAGTATGAGCATACTTCTGAGCATAATGACTCAGGGACTGTTGGGGATTTTTTTCAGCACTTTTGTGGCTTCCCACTGGTCACTTGCAATCCCCTTTTTTGTCATTATGACCTCTGACAGTGGCAGCTGGAAGGCTGAACAGTACTACAGGACTCCACCGTATGCAGGGACCTCAACAGCTATATATTTTTTTTTAATAACTTAACAGTGCAACTACAAAGACACCACTTTAGATAAGGTCTCCTGCAAATACCAACACGAGATATGAAAATAATCATTCATGATGACAAATATCCATTCCACCTATCAGCTTCCTTTCACATTGTGCCAAAGAAAAACGTTGGCATTTCCTCTGCTGCAGAAAATGCCGCGGCTCATTTCTTAATTACTCTAGCCCCATCAACTGACTGGGCTCTTAGACAAAATAATAAGAGTTTTTGTTCTAAATATCTCGGATGTCTACCCTTGCTTGGGTTGGCAAGGCTTGGCAGTGCCTGACAGTGCTCTGTGGGAGAGATCACCAGCCAATGCCCTTCTGATGCACAGGGAGTGCCTGGGGGTCAGGCTCCAAGCAAAAGTGAACCTCAGAAATGGCATACACATGAGACAGCTCAGCATGAAGTTGTCCTTACACAGAGGACAAGGCAAACTGAACTGAACCCTGCTGTTAAACAGGGGTTGTAACTGTCCCTCTTTCTGCTCATTTGTTTCCTGCATGTAATGGGCCTGTCATGGCTGTAGTTATGTATTAATATAATTTTGGGAAAAAGTCCGAACCCTAAAGTCCTTCATTTGCATTTGTCTACTACAATTGTGACAAGTAGAGAACATATTCTTCTCAGCTTTCAGTATGACGGCTGGCTTTGAATCCTAAAAACCGTACGTATCTTGTGTAGGCAAATACATCCATGTAGAAGCAGAAAATATAATCCAAAGAAGTCGTGCTTTGAAATTTTCTTTGAATGGTTTTAAGAAGAGGAGGTGAGATTTTAAGTAGTTACTTGTACTACTGCCTGGAAAACCACAGTGGTCTCAGAGCAGTCTTTTCTCTCTATGCAGCAGAATACATCTAGGTTGTCACCAATGCTGTTCTCAGCAGTCTGTCTGCAGAAGAACAGTTTAGGATTCATTACATCTTAATACGTTATGTGTAGGAAACAGACTTTGGAGGCATGTGATGGAACTTGTCCCAGAGAGATGTGCTTTAGATGTGATGCCAGGTCTTGGCATGTGTAAGACACAAGATTTTTTGAGTATCAGTGGCAGAGCCCTTCTCATTTCCCTGCAACAATAAAACAGATCTGTTTTCATCTTCTTCACATTGTTTTCTCCTGCAGGGAAACCAGAACAGGGTCCACTGTCTCATGCCCATTGCAGTGACTTCTTGCAAAGTATCTCAGCGAGTCCAGCAATGCTGCAATATGCCTTGGCACATGACACTTCCCTGAGCATGGAGTGCTTGTTTCCTCCACAGGGAGTATGGTGTAAAAAGTGTCCCCATGCTGGGACCCTGCCCAGAACACTGCTCTTTTATGGTAATGGACCACACTGGACACACAAGTCCTCAGAAAGAGAAGCTTTTCATTTTGTTCATGCATACACTATTGCCAAGACTGTGATGCTGTCTATCCTCTTCCCCAGCTGTGCACCAGCTGCTTTGTCTTCTGCCAGGCAGGACAGCTGAGGAGGCAAAGTCTACTCAGCTCCAGACTCCCATCTGATTGAACAGAGATGGCCACTTTTTTTGCTTTATGATGTCTCAGCAGATAGAGATTACCTCTTCCTTGTAGCTTGACTGCTTCTCTTTACATCATTGTGGGTATAGCAAGCATCCTTTTAAACATCTACTGACATTTACCTCAGCAGCTGGAGCGGACAGATGCTGCCAGCAGTCTGTCCAGCCAGCAACAGAGGATGAGGGGCTCACAAATACAGTGCTTGTTGCTGGCATATTTCTGAATTGATTCTTGATTTAAGGACCCAGGGGATCGGTATTTTCTTCATTTTCAGGCTGATTGGTTTAGCCACTTATTGATGCCACAATGACATTTTTACTATGGGTATTCAACTGCCAAGTGATTCTTTGTCCTCCACTGAAGAGACAGGCACCTTTTCACATCATACAAGATAAACATTTCAGGTAACTCTGTATGTTTTTTAAAACAGTTTGAGTGCAGTTTTCAAGACCAAAAGCCTGGGATAGGTCATTAATTCTGATTAAAACAGGTTAACATCTAACATCTTGACTGGGTACAAAGATGTAGGGAAGAAAATCTTCATTTCTGAAAGGTATGAACTTCTAGCATACCTACTGTCTATTATGGACAACCAAAAGGGAACACTGTAACTGCATTTCATGCAATAGACATTGATCTAATGTAGGTAAAGTACTTTAAAAAAATACCAATTTCCTGAAAGGTTGGGTTTCATGTATGAATGTGAAACATAGCTGAAAAATTGTTTTATGTAACTCCTCCTGACTCTGAAAATGTACAGTTACAGTTCTGTGGCTGAAGAGTCCCCTTCAGTACCCTCAACCTTCAAATTAGGTTGAAGGAAAATATCACAGAAAAAGAATGACTGAAGGAAGATCTTTGGAGCTGACAGACCTCTGCTAAACCTAGAATTGCTTGCTGAAATTTATTTGAAATTAGCTGCAGGAAATCTTTGCTCTTTCATTCATGTAGAGGCCTTTGGTTGACAGTACTGATTCCTCTCTCTTCCAGTTCAATGCAGTTGGTAACATTTCTAAACAGAAAAATGCCTACCCTACTTGAGTGGCTCCTGCCTGCCTCCAGGAATACCATAGCTGACTGGACCTGCCACTTGCATACTGTGATGCTAGGGGCCAACACCTTCAGGGTCCTGCTTACCTCTCCAGGGAGAGCACCTGGTATACTACACATTTTCAGAAAGATTGTGAGAGCTTTAAAAAGTTTAAATATTTCAGGCCCCTCTTAAATTGTTTTGCAACTACACAAATGTTTTCACATCTCTCTCTCTATTCCTCATACCCTCTATGACAGTGACAGTGTAACAGAAACCAGCTCCAAATACTGTTTATGGAAAAGGTAGGATGAAGATAGGAGCACTAGTGTGTTCACCTGTTTGCTCTGCTGACAGGGTGAAGATGGTCAAAATTGTTCTCTGGCTTGTTTTTCTCATGTAGATGAAAGAAATCCTGTCTATATATATCATGGTTTATCATAGAGAATCCTCTTCATGATGAAAAAAAGGATTTGGATTATTATGTTAAAATTTTCCATGGGTCAAATCTCCAATTCTGTAAAAGCATGTTGTAGTCAAGACAATTAGAGGCTGTGCCTCCAGGTTTTACTTTTATGTATTTCTAAGCTCATCTCAGGGCAGACTCATTCAGCTGCAGTGCAACGTAAAAATATGATGGGAGAAGAGGCCAATGCCATTATAATATCTAATGAAAAAGTGTAAGTGCAGTACTTGGTAGCTTTGAATTCTGCACATGGTCTTGAGTTATTGCATCCCACAAAGCTCTGAGAAGAATGTATCATTAATAATTTGTAGTAACACATGACTTCTAATTGATTGAATTCTTTTTTCTGTTTAAAACAAATGGAAAAAAAATACATAATTAATCTCCTTGCAGCTCATGTCGTGTCAGAAATGGCTGTGCTTTTAGGACGATATTCACTCCTCTGAAGTGTCAAAGCATGTACTGCAGCATTTAAGGAGGATGCTTAGCAAAAGACAGACTGCTTTCATCTCTGCTAACCCGATAAAAAGGAAAAGTATGTCTCCTAGATGAGAGATCAGATTTGTTATGCTGAATGGGTGCCACAGAGAAGAGAACAGCAGGTAACTTACCACATCAATTATCTGCAGCAAGGAAAGCTGGAGTTCCACTACAAGTGGTTGGGAGTCATTCACTACAGGTCGTTCCAGACGATTGTAGTTCCTCAGCAGATCTCTGTACAAACGTCTCTGGCTTTCACCCTGCTGAGAGACTAGTGGAAAAGAAAGAAGGTGCCTGTCATTCACACTGTCACACAGTCACCATTGTTTGTGTGTTTTGTTGAAAACTCACACTTATTAGGTTTGTAATTAGAAAGCAGTTCCTAAAAATATCACCCAGATTCTGCACATGGATATGACAGACACAGTTTTTCTGCATATGTAAATCATGAACTCTCAAAAAAAATTAACTACTAACACTCTAACTCATTATTAACATTCAGAAACTACAGAACAGAATTTGGGGTCTGATTGAATGTCCCAAATTTCTTGGAGGTCCTCCTGCGGCTGGCCAGTGGAGCTGTGGCTCCAAATCCACCAGACAGCTTCCTGGGAGGCAAGAAAATGAATTCATTTTATTGCTTGTTCTTAATTCCTAGACACTGGCTACTGTGAGCCAGCACTGGTATATGGTACTTAGCCATATTGTGTTTTTACTAAGCATGGATAACGGGTATCATTGTTCCTTGGAGCTGATGTATCAGGCCTTTTCTATGCTCAAGAAACAGTAACAACCCTTCTTCCTACCCTCTTCAGTTTTGTGTAGCAGTCTTTCCAGGCTTTGGGTTACTTCCCTGGACTTTTTTCCATCTGATGACAGCAAACTTTTATAGTGGTATTGAATTTCTCACATTACATGCTTAACTCACTTTGCACTGGGAACAGACTCCACACAAAGCTGTCATGCAAACAGCTGAGCATGCTAAAAATTTTCAGAACTTCAGTCTATATAATTTCCAAGATGCCCTAGTTCCCACCTTTGGGGTGGGTGTGGAGAGCATCTGTCTAACCTGCATGACCAAGTTTCCTTGGCACGACAACTGTAGATGGTGAAGGTTTGGGTATCTTCCCTCAGTGAAGCAAGAAGCTTGCTGGGATATTGCTCAGAATCCTGATTCCCTCAAAACTGTGTAGATCTTGGTCCTGTGGCTAGTGGGCAGCCTGAGCTCTACTTAAGAGCTGCGCCCAAGAGAGGGAAGGTCATGTAGTGCAGGTTCCCTGAGGTCAAACCAGTCCTGTCAACCTGAGTGTATATTCTCTGAACTGTATAAATTCAATCCCTGGCAGAGAATCTGCACTCTACATCATTATTACTTTGGACTGAGGCATTTTTTAATCCACTGCAGCTCCCACTCTCTGTATATGATGGTTTTTATTTCTTGATCAGAGATCTGCACACTGAGACCAAAACTTCTCACAGAGGTTGTGATGAATATTTTCTTGACAGTCCAAACAAAATATAACGCATTCTGCCTTCGCAGTCTCTCACTATACTTGCCTTTAAGCCTGAGACAAGCTGCCCTACAACAAAGCAGCCATGCCTTTTAAAACTTATAATAAATTCAGTTTATAAACACTTCCTAGGTCTGTTTAACTTGTGCTCTTTTCATTTTTGCTGATACTCAATGGAGCTTTGTGACTTTCTAGCATGGCAGTACCTATTAAACAAGAAAGAAGAGTATTTTGGTTCACTTTGGTAAATTACACCATCGCATCAATTTTATGGGCCCTTTCTCCTCTTGTGAAATATTCTACATGACCACAGGCAGCCAGAGAAGAAAATGCTGTAAGCACATCTTCAATAGCACTTGCTGACACCTCAGTATTGGATTCTATGTTTTCACCAATGGCAAAAACAAGCTCTGACCACAGTATCTCTCCTTCAGCACCTGCTTACTTAAGCAGAGATTTAAGTCCTCTGTTATGGCCTTAGTGTTTTCCAGCGCCTCAGCAGGACCAGACTCCATTATAAAAGTCTCATGTGTGAAGGAAACACATGAAAATCACTATACGATGTCCTGTGGAAAGAGGCTCTGAGTTTGGAGAAAATTTGCTGTCCTTTCACTCACCTACCCACCCATGTTCCTATGCTTCAGGGAAGAAATGACTTCCTGAACTACTGCTCTCATCTTAAGTACTTACATAATACTTGCCTTTAATCCTTCTTTTAAACTGGCTGCCTCAGCTTTTAAAAGGGGAAAAGTGCCCTTCACCAGTCCTGAAACTCAACTGGGCTGCTAGAGTGCCCTGATACCTCCATTGTCAGGATGCACTGAAGCAGCCCCCCAAGGGAGGACTGACTTGCAGAAATCTAGGCATAACCCTTTGCTGCAGGCTTTGGAAAGCTGTCTTTGCACTGTGTGCTTCATCCATGCTGAAGCCAGATCCTCTTTCCCTGTTAAACTTTGTGAGGTGAAGTAGCTGAGAACTCAGTTTCCCATACTTTCTTCGATTCTCCTCTCTGCAATGTGATCCTGATACTTTTCAGTCTCTTGTACTCAAAACTGTTAACATAGTCGGAGCTAATCTTTTCTTAGTCTGCCGAGTAGGCATTGGCAATCACATATTTGTGTGCTGCATGGATTTGCTTACAAAATGACATAGATTCAGAAGCAATGGAGCCCTGGGGTGTCCTGGCAAATGGCCAATAGCAGCTATTGGTACCACAAAGAGCTGGCTAGCCTAATCACTCTGCCATCTCTCTGCTACAGCTGCTTTGGAGAAGGGAACTGAGGTGGATGTCTAGTTTGACTTGTATGTTCACAGACTTTTTCTTTAAATTGTAATTTTCAAATACTTAATGTTTCATACTCCAGAGAGATTTGTGGTTTTTCCTCTTATAACGTTTGTGCTAATGCATTGTGACACTACAACTATGTGTGCTAAATGGAGTGTTTGTTGGTGATGCAGAAGCCTGAATCTCTCAGGAGTAGTGGTAGAATAAGCTTTACCACTGACTACCCCTCAGTCACAGAATTTTAACCAAAAGCAGTGGTACTGTTTCATCTTTTAAACTAGACTAGATGATGGATTTCAATCTTTAAGGTTGCCAAGTCCATGTCCCAAAACCTTGCTTATTGGTAAGTAAAAGTAACAGGCAAAGGGCATGATGTTTTCTAGGTAAAGGATCTGAGAGTTTTTATGACCCACTGCCTTTGATAGTGTCTCCCTTGTCTCTGAAATATCTTTGAAGCAGTAGGAAAACATACAAACTCATTAAAATTTGAGGGAAGAGGATGTTTACCTCAAGTTTAGCAAGACTTTTGACACCATCTCTGAAAAATTCTCACACACATTTGTCTATGCCTTACAGGCTAGATAAGTGAACAGTGGACAGAAAAGTGGCTGAACTGTCAGGCTCAGAGGGTTGTTTTGCTGCTCAGTCAGCAGCAAAAAGTTCAGCTGAAGGCCAGTCAGTGGTAGAGTACTCCAGGGATGGATACTGGGAACAATGCTATTTAATGTCGTTATGAATGATGGGACAGAGTGCACCCTTAGCAAGTTGGGGGTTTTTCCAGATGGTACAAAAATGAGAGGAGCAGCTGATACAGAACAAGGTTTTCTACCACTCAGAAGTACCTTAAAAAACTGGAGAAATGACTGACAGGCACCTCATGAAGTTCAATGAAATTAAGTATAAAGTTGTCTTGCACCTGAGGAGTAACTCCAGGTACCAGAACAGGCTGGGGCCTCACTGGCTGGTGAGCAGGATACCCAAAAAAGCCCTGCTACCAAGGTGACTATAAGCCAGCAATGGTACCAAGCTGACTGTAAGCCAGTAGCAAAGGTCACCAGCATCCTGAGCTGCAACAGGAGGAACCACACAAATAGATCAAGAGAGGTGATCCTTCCTCTCTACTCAGCACTGGTGATACACACCTGGAATGCTGGATCCAGTGCTAGGGCTTATCAGTAGAAAGGAGATGTGAAATTACTAGATGAAGAACTGGATTTTCCCCCCAAGATTTAATTTTGAATAATCTGAAAATGTTCCCTAAACTGATCCAGAAGCTTGCAGACAATTGAGAAACTCCAGGCAATCAACCCCCAGATTGGTTGTGAACACCTCTATGGAAAGCAATTACTCCTGCACTATGTTAAACTTTTAAACACCTCTCTGAATTCCCTCCATGCTTCTGCATGTGCAAAGTCTGCAAGAAGCCCACTGATTGAATGATATGACCTATAGACTGCTACCAATCTTCTGAGAATAGATGCTATAGTTGCATTTCATGTTTCTTTCCAGGATGTAATTGCTGACAATTTCACAACAAGGGAACCTGCAGCTAGGTCCGGCCAGACTATCCATATGGCATCCCCAGGAAGGACAGATGCTCTCCCCTTTCCAGGAGCTGTGCTGTCATGTTTGGTCTTGGCTGGTTGATTTTCCTGCTCTGCTTCGCATGCCAAGGTCCCCAGGCTATAAGGCAAGAGTCCAGCCCTTCCAGTTCCCCAGGTTTGTTCACAAAGTAGTCAGCTTCTTAACTGAGAATCCTGGTATGAGACACATTCTGGCTGGTTGTGCCCAGTAAAGAATAAATAATGAAATATTAGCAAGATAATAGGTAGCAGAACATGGCTTTCCACTAGTTTTTCAGCAATGGTACCTGTTATTATCAAGAGTTCTACCTCTGTTTCATAGTGTTCCCTGGTTTTGTGTTCATAATTTCTCAACTTTTTGAGAAGAGGAGCTTCTGGCTGTTTTCTAGCTGCTGCTCATTTCCTTAGGCAGAGACCTGAGTCCAAATAGATGAGTTATTACTTTTAGTCATACAAGATTTTTGGTACCTAAAGTGGTGAGTTTCAAACAAAATATCATATTCTTTCCATATCACTTTATATTAACATGTATGCATGCTAACATGAATTTCTGAATTAGGAAATGTCTCTGTTTTCTTCTTCTGTCTTCAAAGACAGTTCCTAGGATCACTTTTATATATAACCTTTTGGAAAAATATGTTAAGTTACAATCAACAGCCTATTTTTGATCCATCACATTGTTACTTTTATATATTTTGTCCCCCCAATACCTCATAAAAGGTCTCAAAATGCAGAAATACTATGGTTGTGATATTTATTCACTTCCCTTCTGCAGGGATTTCATCACATCTATGTCACTTTTTTCTCTCTGTACTGTTACTTTGACATGTATATTTTGTTTTGGTTTATTTGTTCGTTTCATAAAAGAAAATGAGTGAAGTTCTGGCATTTA